CACAGAGAGGATCTTGGGGAGATACTCTGATAGATGCACACACACTCAGGCAGCCAAGCAGATGCACACTTAGGTGTATGGATAGGTGACAGCCACACGCGGAGTGGAGAGCACACGTCCATTAATACTTGACCACACGAGTCGAAGAGCCACAGTACCTCCATGGTGGCAACTTGCAGAGCAGGGTGCACAGAACTAATAGCGTCTCTCGCGCAGTCCAGGTCTCTGCGTGCGAAGCAGGAGACGAAGCCGAGGATCACATAGAGTCGAGGGGGTGTGACGGCACCCACATCTCAACACGACTCAAGTCACAATGCGGACGCACACCATGAACCCACATCATCAACACAATCACTCACAACACGAAACACAAAAACAACAACCGACATTCGCCACTAAGTAGCGATGATGTCACCACGGCGCCTGTGCCAGGCCAGGTGCACTTTCAGGCCACGCGAAGTGTCGAAGGCTCGCTGACAAGACGTCACGGGACAGACCCAGGTTCCAAAGGTTGGCTGAGATGCTTGGTAGATACACCAGCTGTATGCCCAACTGTGCCAACTTGCCGAATTTTATCTGCCACTCGTTGTGAGCGTCACTCCTCTGCCCTCAGTTGTTGTTGGAGGCAGACTGCCTCCAACTGTCCAGTAGCCTCCTTCACGAGCTTCCTCGTGAAGGATGCTATTTACACCACTGGTACCAGTCTTTCACAAGTCCACTCAACATCCTCCCATACAGCATCAGTCCATATTTTCGACAGCCCATGTCGTGGCCGTTTAGCCCCCTTTATGCGGCCAAAAAGAAACCGCTTGGGTATGCGGGCTACAAGACCCAGCCAACGCAGCCTTGCCTGCCGAAGGAGCTTACTGGTGGGAATGTGTCCAGATCCTTCAAGGATTTGTGAGCTCCTCACACAATCCAGCTAGGTTAAACACAGGATGGATCGTTGGAACCACCACCGACACCACCACCAACACCACTAACACCATCAACATCACCACCAACAACACCAGTACCACCACCAACAAGAATATCACCATCATCAACACCGTCACCAGCACCACCAACACCAACAGCACCACCATCAACACCACCAACAACACTACCACCAACACCACCACGAACATCAAAGATAAAGATCCCCCTTATAGCTGAAATAAACTGTTGGGGCAAGTGCTGTTAACCAGCATCACCTATGAAGGCCGGAACAGCACACGAGGGCGTGGGTGGCCAACACTGCGCCCGGCCGCCTTTGTCTCCGAGTGGCGATATTTACACACCACACCAGGTACTCATTTGAGGCTGAGTCGACCTAGGGGAGGCCCAGGACCGGTTCATATAATCGTCACTGGTGTTGACCTTGAGCGGGAATCCAATTCTGGGTCATCGGGTTCATAGCGCAGCGCGTTAACCACTCCACACACACACAGACTCGCACACGGATGCAAACACACACGGACTCACACAAACACAGACTCACACCACACACACAGACTCACACCACCGCACCACCCACCCACAGCGAGGATCCACTCCTCATCTTCGCCAGAGTTTCTCCCCGCCTCTAACGGACCAACTGCCAGGGGGAAGCGCGTGGCTCGAGACGAAGGGGCGGTACCAGGTGACCACGCCCACCGAGACGTGGAGCCCTGAGCCCCCCCCCATGCCCACCCCTGGCCCCGCCCCCTCTCCCCCTCCCCCCGCCGAGGCTGGGGCGAGTGGAGGCAGCGCTGTGCATTGTGGGTGGCGAGCGGCTGATTCGGATTCCCGCTCGCGGCCACCGTCGCTGCTGAAGCGGCGGCTCGCTGGCTGGTCCTCCTCTACATCGACTCAGCCCGAAGGCACGTGGTTACAATGCGTCACGAGCGGTGGACACCTCCTCACTGGCGTTGGGCGCCGATGACGTCAGACCGAGATAACGAGAGCCGGGTCGTGAGAGGGCGAATATCTTGAGAGTTTAACGCTTTCGCGACCAATGTCGTCCATGATACAGGCCTTTTGGGATAGATCGCGTAAACATCTAAATGTGTCGTTAACCCCGCCACCACCACCCGAGCGGGCGGGGCGCGAAGTCCGCCCCCTCCACCCGGCCCCCTCCTCGGGCGCGTCTCGCTGGGCCCCCCGGGCCCCCGCCGATCGGGGGGGGGACCGCCCCCCCCGATCGGCGCCTGTCAGACACCGCCTAGGGGGTTATTGTGCATGCGCCCCCCATAACACGTGCGCCCCCCACAACACGTGCGCCCCCCACAACACGCGTGCCCCCCACAACACGCGCGCCCCCACAACACGCGCGCCCCCCACTACACGCGTGCCCCCCACAACACGTGCGCCCCCCACAACACGCGTGCCCCCCACAACACGCGTGCCCCCCACAACAAGCCCGCCTGCACTCGCGAACCGCGCCGATCACGTAACACTTTCAATCTCTGCTCACAGCTGTCGGGATCTAATTAATGACTTTGCGCACTCACGCAACGTCCCCCACCCCCGGCCGGGCGTGGTGCTGACCACCCACCCCCTCGTGTGCCGTGCTGGCCTTCAGAGGTGCTCGCTAACAACACCTGCCCCAACAGTCTGTTAAGGCTATACGGGGGGGGGGTCTTTGTCTTTGTGGATGAGTGAGTGTGATTGTGGAATTCTTCGGGTCTCAGCTCAATGGAGTTCACTCGGGGAATGAACTTTTTCGGATTCTGAAATAAACGTGTGCGTGTGTTTAGTGGGGTGCATGTGAGTGTTTAGTGGGGGTGCATGTGAGTGTTTAGTGGGGGTGCATGTGAGTGTTTAGTGGAGGTGTGCGTGAGTGTTTAGTGGAGGTGTGCGTGTGTTTAGTGGGGGTGCATGTGCGTGTTTAGTGGGGGTGCATGTGCGTGTTTAGTGGGGGTGCATGTGAGTGTTTAGTGGGGGTGCATGTGAGTGTTTAGTGGGGGTGCGTGTGTTTAGTGGGGGTGCATGTGAGTGTTTAGTGGGGGTGCATGTGAGTGTTTAGTGGGGGTGCATGTGTGTTTAGTGGGGGTGCATGCGAATGTTTAGTGGGGGTGGCGTGTGTGTGTTTAGTGGGGGTTCATGTGAGTGTTTAGTGGAGGTGCATGTGAGTGTTTAGTGGAGGTGCATGTGAGTGTTTAGTGGAGGTGCATGTGAGTGTTTAGTGTAGGTGCATGTGAGTGTTTAGTGGAGGTTCCATGTGAGTGTTTAGTGGGGGTGCATGTGAGTGTTTATTGGGGGTGCATGTGAGTGTTTATTGGGGGTGTGCGTGTGTTTAGTGGGGGTGCATGTGAGTGTTTAGTGGGGGTACGTGCGTGTGTTTAGTGGGGGTGCATGCGTATGTTTAGTGGGGGTGCATGTGTGTTTAGTGGGGGTGCATGTGAGTGTTTAGTGGGGGTGCATGTGCGTGTTTAGTGGGGGTGAGTGTTTAATGGGGGTGCATGTGAGTGTTTAGTGGGGGTGCATGTGCGTGTTTAGTGGGGGCGCATGTGAGTGTTTAGTGGGGGTGCATGTGCGTGTTTAGTGGGGGTGCATGTGCGTGTTTAGTGGGGGTGCATGTGCGTGTTTAGTGGGGGTGCATGTGCGTGTTTAGTGGGGGTGCATGTGACTGTTTAGTGGGGGTGCATGTGCGTATTTAGTGGAGGTTAATGTGCGTGTTTAGTGGGGGTGCGTGTGCGTGTTTAGTGGAGGTGCGTGTGCGTGTTAGTGGGGGTGCGTGTTTAGTGGGGGTGCATGTGCGTGTTTAGTGGGGGTGCATGTGCGTGTTTAGTGGGGGTGCATGTGCGTGTTTAGTGGGGGTGCATGTGCGTGTTTAGTGGGGGTGCATGTGCGTGTTTAGTGGGGGTGCATGTGCGTGTTTAGTGGGGGTGCATGTGCGTGTTTAGTGGGGGTGCATGTGAGTGTTTAGTGGGGGTGCATGTGCGTATTTAGTGGAGGTTAATGTGCGTGTTTAGTGGGGGTGCGTGTGCGTGTTTAGTGGAGGTGCGTGTGCGTGTTTAGTGGGGGTGCGTGTGAGTGTTTAGTGGGGGTGCGTGTGCGTGTTTAGTGGGGGTGCGTGTGCGTGTTTAGTGGGGGTGCGTGTGCGTGTTTAGTGGAGGTGCGTGTGCGTGTTTAGTGGGGGTGCGTGTGAGTGTTTAGTGGGGGTGCGTGTGCGTGTTTAGTGGAGGTGCGTGTGCGTGTTTAGTGGGGGTGCGTGTGAGTGTTTAGTGGGGGTGCATGTGCGTGTTTAGTGGTGGTGCATGTGAGTGTGGAGGTGTGGAAGGAGAGAGCAGCGCCGGCCGAGTTTCTCCGCTACGGTTGCACCACAGGAACATTCTGTGGAAACTATTGCCAGTGATGATTGTTGACAACAATTGCTATGAAATCTTCGCAGTCGATCACAGCCTATGAGGTGTGGTCTTGGTCGTGAAGTCTGTTGCGCTGATGCTACCGACGGCAGTATCGTGCTCTTATTCTGCCCTCGGCTTCTTGTGGTGCTCACAAGGGGCCGGCATTCCACCCCACTCCCTTCCCAGCAACTCAACTACTCTCATTGCGAGGCCACTATTCGATTCCGGATCATATAATTTGTATGGTCTTGTTATCATTCGTATTGTTTCTCAATTCTCCGTTTAACGATGAAATGTAATAACTTATTAAGTTTTGTGTGCTCTGTTAGCTGTGGTCTCGAGTGGTAGGGGTGGCTCGCAAACCAACCTGCCGCACCGGTGTCACATTGACCAATCACCACCATGGGCCTAAATGTCAAATATATTGAACGATTGGAAATAATAACTTCTCACGCATGCAACTCGGCGCTTTTATCAGGTGCGTATCGCGTGGCGTGATTACCAATCGTGCAGTTAGGGTCGAAGCTAGTTTTGTTTTGTTTATTAAAGTTGGGGCCTGGTCCGGTCGGCCCAAGTGCGTGTCGAGTCCAGGCTCTGCTCGGTTCGGGGTACTGCTGGTGCCACCACGCTTGTGAAGCCAGCACTGGTGTCTCTCCGCAGCTCGAGCGAGCGCTACGAGGAGGAGATGACAGTGCGAGCCCGAGGCTCTAGTCAACTCCGGCAGGCGGCTGGTACAGAGGTACGAGCAGGAGAAGAGCCGTCTCGCCGACGGGCTGCTCCACCCACGCTTGCACGGATGGCCGGATGACGTCGCGGTCACCGAACGGCCAAACCACCAACCCGACGAACGACCCCCACCCGACCGCCAGCCCACGGGTACCCCCACCGAGTAAATGACCCAACATGCATCATCCTGACACACTGACCAAATAACTTACAGACCGATAATTCGCCACCCCATCCTATGACCCAATAAAATACTTTCGCAACAATATATATGAACCCGACACCCGACTTGCCCACCCTCTGACTCTATAAGACACCGAGGCCAATACAATACACCGACTTGGTGAAACTCTGACCCATCAATCGACCCATTTGACTTCGAGCCTATCCACCGGATCACCAGCTGACCTACTGATCCAATAAACACTCTAACCTGGTAACTTACTGCCAAAATACTGATCCACCAAATGACCCTATAACCTTGCCAGCTAGGCTCAGACTCACGACCAGCTGATCTAATAATCCAAAAACCCACTGTCCCACCAGGCTATCCCCGCTATGAAGGAGGGACCGGTATTATAAATTAATGTTGTGTTTTTGTTCCGCGTTTAGGCACCACTGCCATTACTTGGCCATAAACGTGTTTAAGCCCAGGAGTGTCTGTGCACTCATCTTTCCCAAATGGAAGCTGCTCGTGGTGGAGGCAACATGTCACGTCTGGCAACGCAAAACTAGTTTAGCACCAATGGATTTGACTTAAACCACTCGTGCACAAGACCAGTTGAAAAATTATCCTGACATTTTTATAAATTAATACACACCGTGAGGAGGGTAGTTCCTTAAACAGCATGCTCGAAGTGGTCGAGTGACACGGACGAATGTTCTCCTGTACGTGCATTCCACGTAGTTATGTTCTCCTGTAAACGAGGGCTACTCCTTGGAAAATGCGCACAACGCACGCTGCGCTCCCACGGTTTCATCTTTACATGTCACAGCGATCTGCAGGTTCTGCGCTTGTTTAGCTTGAGGCTGTAGTCATCGCCGCGATGCCGCGAGGGAGTCTGCTGAGTGAGCTCCTGCGTCCCGTTATCAATCAAAGTCCCCCATGCAACTTGGCCACCTGGATATCACTCATGCATCATGGCCACTATGAAATCTTCAATGAATCATGGCCACTGTGACATCCACCATGCAACATGGCCATCGTGATGTTCCACCATTCACCATGGCCCTCTGTGACATCCCTCATTCCTGTTCTTACCTTGCGGTGATTTGATGCAGATGGAGGCGGTGCCCTCTGAGGACAGCGCCCTCCACGTGGTACAAAATTCGCCCTCATTCCTCGCCTCTCCAGATTGGCTCATCTACACACACTCAAAGACAAAGGTCCACCACATAGGCTTTAGCAAGATGTGGGGGATAGTGCAAGCGGCGAGCACTGAGCCAGGATCTCTGAGATCCTGGGCTCCACATTCAGGAGGGTCCTGCTGAGATGTCAGTTCTCAGCGTTCGGATATTTGGCCAATGTCAGATGTCACACTTGGATTAACAATGAGACACGTGTGTATTTAAAGGACACACGCAGGTTAATGGCATCCTTCAAACTGTTAAGAGAAGTAGGGCTGGGCCAGGACATGCCACGGCCACGAGGAACAACGATGGCTGATGGTCAAGAACAATAACGGAGGTGCAGCCAAGTATCGGAACACGTCTGAGAGGACGGCTGCTAGAAAGATGGAGCGACAAAATCGGTGCTTGGTGGATTATTCCATCGCATGATCGTGAGGGGTAGCAGGGTCTCAAGGAAGGAGGCCTTCATCCAGTAGTGGATAGATAAAAGTACAGTAGATTATTAAAACGTAGAAAGGCAGGTACACAGAGAGGATCTTGGGGAGATACTCTGATAGATGCACACACACTCAGGCAGCCAAGCAGATGCACACTTAGGTGTATGGATAGGTGACAGATAGCCACACGCGGATTGGAGAGCACACATCCATTAATACTTCACCACACGAGTCGTAGAGCCACACGTACCTCCATGGTGGCCAATTGCAGAGCAGGGTGCACAGAACTAACAGCGTCTCTCGCGCAGTCCAGGTCTCTGTGTGCGAAGCAGGAGACGAAGCCGAGGATCACATAGAGTCGAGGGGGTGTGACGGCACCCACATCTCAACACGAGTCAAGTCACAATGCGGACTCACACCATGAACCCACATCATCAACACAGACTCACATCATCACCAATCACTCACAACACGAAACACAAAAACAACAACCGACATTCGCCACTTAGTAGCGATGATGTCACCACGGCGCCTTTGCCAGGCCAGGTGCACTTTCAGGCCACACGAAGTGTCGAAGGCTCGCTGACAAGACGTCACGAGACAGACCCAAGTTCCAAAGGTTGGCTGAGATGCTTGGTAGATACACCAGCTGTATGCACAACTGTGCCAACTTACCGAATTTTATCCGCCACTCGTTGTGAGCGTCACTCCTCTGCCCTCAGTTGTTGTTGGAGGCAGTCTGCCTCCAACTGTCCAGTAGCCTCCTTCACGAGCTTCCTCGTGAATGATGCTATTTACACCGCTGGTACCAGTCTTTCACAAGTCTACTCAACTCAACATCCTCCCATACAGCATCAGTCCATATTTTCGACAGCCCATGTCGTGGCCGTTTAGCCCCCTTTATGCGGCCAAAAAGAAACCGCTTGGGTATGCGGGCTACAAGACCCAGCCAACGCAGCCTTGCCTGCCGGAGGAGCTTACTGGTGGGAATGTGTCCAGATCCTTCAAGGATTTGTGAGCTCCTCACACAATCCAGCTCGGTTAAACACAGGATGGCTCGTTGGAACCACCACCGACACCACCACCAACACCACTAACACCATCAACATCACCACCAACAACACCAGTACCACCACCAACAAGAATATCACCATCATCAACACCGTCACCAGCACCACCAACAACACCAACAGCACCACCACCAACAACACCAATAGCACCACCATCAACACCACCATCAACACCACCACCATCAACACCACCACGAACAACAAATATAAATATCCTCCTTATAGCTGAAATAAACTGTTGGGGCAAGTGCTGTTAGCCAGCATCACCTATGAAGGCCGGAAAAGCACACGAGGGCGTGGGTGGCCAACACCGCGCCTTTGTCTCCGAGTGGCGATATTTACACACCACACCAGGTACTCATTTGAGGCTGAGTCGACCTAGGGGAGGCCCAGGACCGGTTCATATAATCGTCACTGGTGTTGACAGCGCGTTAACCACACACACACAGACTCACACACGGATACAAACACACACGGACTCGCACAAACACAGACTCACACCACACACACAGACTCACACCACCGCACCACCCACCCACAGCGAAGATCCACTCCTCACCTTCGCCAGAGTTTCTCCCCGCCTCTCTCACGGACCAACTGCCAGGGGGAAGCGCGTGGCTCGAGACGAGGGGGCGGTACCAGGTGACCACGCCCACCGAGACGTGGAGCCCTGAGCCCCTCGCCCCGCCCCCCCCCATGCCCACCCCCGCCCCCTCGCCCCGCCCCCTCTCCCCCGCCCCTCCCCCCGCCGAGGCCGGGGCGAGTGGAGGCAGCGCTGTGCATTGTGGGTGGCGAGCGGCTGTTTTGGATTCCCGCTCGCGGCCACCGTCGCTGCTGAAGCGGCGGCTCGCTGGCTGGTCCTCCTCTACATCGACTCAGCCCGAACAAGGTGAGAACCTTGCACGGTGTGGACACATCAGCAGTGGCGGTGGTGGAGAGGGGAGGCAGAGGAGGCGCCTGGCTCACAGCCGTTACGCTCTGGGCGCCTGCTGAGTTCACGGCGCTGCTCCAAGCAGAGCGCGGCCTGCTGCTGATGCTGATGATGAGAGGCACTGCCAGATTGTGGCTGATGGGATGAGTTACATTTAGTTCTTTTGTATCTGGAGGGACGGATTTGTTGTCGTGGCAGAAATGGCCTCCACTAGAGGCCGCGATGTGGAGTATTTGGTCTACTCTTCCACGCTGGTCCAAACCCGTTGGAGCGAGGTGGGTGTACCCACAACTTTACCCTCCACACGCGGGGGGCGTCAGCTCACTGCACTTGCAATGCAGAGGTGCAGGTTCGAGTCCATTTCACACTCAGTCATTCACCCACCCACTCACCCACCCACAGAGGGATAAAGACCCTTTATGCAGTGGTTGTGTAGTATCTGCATCAATGTTTTTGTTGTTTAGTTATGGTGGTTGTTGTTGTGGTTGCGGTTATAATCTTGGCTTTAGTTTTGGTTGTATAGGTGGTTGTAGTGTTGGTTGTAATTGTGGTTGCTCTGGTTGTGGTGCCTTTGGTGTTTTTGGTTGTGGTTATAATTGTGGTTGAGTAGGTTGTGGTTATATGTGCGGTTGTGGTGTTTGTGGTTATAACTTGATTTGAAGCTTTGGTGACTGCAGGAATTACTCTCTGGTTCTTTCTGTAAAGTCACGTAGAAAGAAAATAAATTAAATAATAGAGTACGACGTTGCGATTGCAACACAAGCAACCGTCATCAGGTAGAATAAAATTTGAGAGAGAGACAAAACACAGACACGGAGACACACAGACAGACACACAAGCAGAGAGATGGTGGTGATGGTGGTGGGGGTGGTGGTGGCGGTGGTGGGGGCGGTGGTGGCGGTGGTGGTGGTGGCGGTGGTGGCGGTGGTGGTGGCGGTGGGGGCGGTGATGGTGATGGTGGGGGTGGTGGTGGTGGTGGTGATGGTAATGATGGTAATGATGGTGGTGGTGATGGTGGTGATGGTGGTGATGGTGCTGCTGCTAATCATGATGATGCTGTTGGCTCCAGGTCCCACCACCGATGGGCGCTGCCGGTGCGTCGTCTCTGGTTGACGCTGCTCAACAAGGAGCAGCTTCACTCCACGTTCCTGCGCTACTCACTCACTCACCCAGTCCCTCACCCACTCACTCACGGACCCACTCACTCAGCCACTCACTCACCCACTCACTCACTCACCCACTCACTCACTCACCAGCTTCACTCCACGTTCCTGCGCTACTCACTCACTCACCCACTCACTCACTCACCCACTCACCTACTCACTCACTCACCAGCTTCACTCCACGTTCCTGCGCTACTCACTCACTCACTCACCACTCACTCACTCACTCACTCACCCACTCACTCACTCACTCACCCACTCACTCACCCACTCACTCACTCACCAGCTTCACTCCACGTTCCTGCGCTACTCACTCACTCACCCACTCACTCACTCACCCACTTACTCACTCACCAGCTGCACTCCACGTTCCTGCGTTACTCACTCACTCACTCGCTCACCCACTCACTCACCAGCTTCACTCCACGTTCCTGCGCTACTCATTCACTCGCAGGCGGTCACAGCACGAGGTGAGCTCACTCACTCACCCACTCACCCGCATACTCATCCACTCGCTCGCTCGCTCACCCACTCACTCACCCACTCACTCACCCACTCACTCAGCCAATCACTCGCTCGCTCGCTCACCCACTCACTCGCTCAGCCACTTGCTCGCTCACTCACTTGCTCACTCACCCACTCACCCACTCACTCACCCACTCACTCACTCAGCCAATCACTCGCTCGCTCACCCACTCACTCACTCAGCCACTCACTCACTCGCTCACTCACTCACTCGCTCACTCACTCGCTCACTCACTCACTCACCCAGCCACTCACTCACTCTCTCGCTAGCTCGCTCACTCACTCATTCACTCACTCACTCACCCACTCATTAACTCACCCACTCAGCCACTCACTCACTCACCCACCCACTCACCCACTCATCCACCCACTCAGCCACTCACTCACCCACCCACTCACCCACTCACTCACCCACTCAGCCACTCACTCAGCCACTCACTCACTCACCCACTCACCCACTCACTCACCCACTCACTCACCCACTCACTCAGCCACTCACTCACCCACTCACTCACCCACTCACTCACTCACTCACCCACCCACTCACTCACCAGCTTCACTCCACGTTCCTGCGCTACTCACTCACTCACCCACTCACTCACTCACCCACTCACCTACTCACTCACTCACCAGCTTCACTCCACGTTCCTGCGCTACTCACTCACTCACTCACCCACTCAGCCACTCACTCACCCACCCACTCACCCACTCATCCACCCACTCAGCCACTCACTCACCCACCCACTCACCCACTCACTCACTCACCCACTCAGCCACTCACTCAGCCACTCACTCACTCACCCACTCACCCACTCACTCACCCACTCACTCACCCACTCACTCAGCCACTCACTCACCCACTCAGCCACTCACTCACTCAGCCACTCACTCACCCACAAACTCACCCACTCACTCACCCACTCACTCACCCACTCACTCACCCACTCACTCACCCACTCACTCACTCACCCACCCACTCACTCACCAGCTTCACTCCACGTTCCTGCGCTATGCACTCACTCACTCACCCACTCACTCACTCACCCACTCACCCACTCACTCACTCACTCACCCACTCACTCACTCACTCACCCACTCACTCACTCACCAGCTGCACTCCACGTTCCTGCGCTACTCACTCACTCACTCGCTCACCCACTCACTCACCAGCTTCACTCCACGTTCCTGCGCTACTCATTCACTCGCAGGCGGCCACAGCACGAGGTGAGCTCACTCACTCACCCACTCACCCGCATACTCATCCACTCGCTCGCTCGCTCACCCACTCACTCGCTCAGCCACTCGCTCGCTCACTCACTTGCTCACTCACCCACTCACTCACTCACCCACTCACTCACCCACTCACTCAGCCAATCACTCGCTCGCTCGCTCACCCACTCACTCGCTCAGCCACTTGCTCGCTCACTCACTTGCTCACTCACCCACTCACTCACCCACTCACTCACTCACCCACTCACTCACTCAGCCAATCACTCGCTCGCTCACCCACTCACTCACTCAGCCACTCACTCACTCAGCCACTCACTCACTCGCTCACCCACTCGCTCAGCCACTCACTCACTCAGCCACTCGCTCACTCGCTCGCTCAGCCACTCGCTCACTCGCTCGCTCGCTCAGCCACTTGCTCACTCACCCACTCACTCACTCGCTCAGCCAATCACTCGCTCACTCACTCGCTCACTCACTCACTCGCTCACTCACTCACTCGCTCACTCACTCACTCACTCACCCAGCCACTCACTCACTCTCTCGCTAGCTCGCTCACTCACTCACTCACTCATTCACTCACTCACTCACTCAGCCACTCATTCACTCACCCACTCAGCCACTCATTAACTCACCCACTCAGCCACTCACTCACCCACTCAGCCACTCACTCACTCACCCACCCCACTCACCCACTCATCCACCCACTCAGCCACTCACTCACCCACCCACTCACCCACTCACTCACTCACCCACTCAGCCACTCACTCACTCAGCCACTCACTCACTCACTCACCCACTCACCCACTCACTCACCCACTCACTCACCCACTCACTCAGCCACTCACTCACCCACTCAGCCACTCGCTCACTCAGCCACTCACTCACCCACTCACTCACTCACCCACTCACTCACCCACTCAATCACTCACCCACTCACTCACCCACTCACTCACCAGCTTCACTCCACGTTCCTGCGCTACTCACTCACTCACTCACCCACTCACTCACTCACTCACCCACTGACTCACTCACCAGCTGCACTCCACGTTCCTGCGCTACTCACTCACTCACTCGCTCACCCACTCACTCACCAGCTTCACTCCACGTTCCTGCGCTACTCATTCACTCGCAGGCGGCCACAGCACGAGGTGAGCTCACTCACTCACCCACTCACCCGCATACTCATCCACTCGCTCGCTCGCTCACCCACTCACTCGCTCAGCCACTCGCTCGCTCACTCACTTGCTCACTCACCCACTCACTCACCCACTCACTCACCCACTCACTCAGCCAATCACTCGCTCGCTCGCTCACCCACTCACTCGCTCAGCCACTTGCTCGCTCACTCACTTGCTCACTCACCCACTCACTCACCCACTCACTCACTCACTCACCCACTCACTCACTCAGCCAATCACTCGCTCGCTCACCCACTCACTCACTCAGCCACTCACTCACTCAGCCACTCACTCACTCGCTCACCCACTCGCTCAGCCACTCACTCACTCAGCCACTCGCTCACTCGCTCGCTCAGCCACTCGCTCACTCGCTCGCTCGCTCAGCCACTTGCTCACTCACCCACTCACTCACTCGCTCAGCCAATCACTCGCTCACTCACTCGCTCACTCACTCACTCGCTCACTCACTCACTCACTCGCTCACTCACTCACTCACCCAGCCACTCACTCACTCTCTCGCTAGCTCGCTCACTCACTCACTCACTCATTCACTCACTCACTCAGCCACTCATTCACTCACCCACTCAGCCACTCATTAACTCACCCACTCAGCCACTCACTCACCCACTCAGCCACTCACTCACTCACCCACCCACTCACCCACTCATCCACCCACTCAGCCACTCACTCACCCACCCACTCACCCACTCACTCACTCACCCACTCAGCCACTCACTCACTCACTCACCCACTCACCCACTCACTCACCCACTCACTCACCCACTCACTCAGCCACTCACTCACCCACTCAGCCACTCACTCACTCAGCCACTCACTCACCCACTCACTCACCCACTCACTCACCCACTCACTCACCCACTCAATCACTCACCCACTCACTCACCCACTCACTCACTCACTCACCCACCCACTCACTCACCAGCTTCACTCCACGTTCCTGCGCTACGCACTCACTCACCCACTCACCCACTCACTCACTCACCCACTCACCCACTCACTCACTCACTCACCCACTCACCCACTCACTCACCCACTCACCCACTCACTCACTCACCAGCTTCACTCCACGTTCCTGCGCTACTCACTCACCCACTCACTCACTCACCCACTGACTCACTTACCAGCTGCACTCCACGTTCCTGCGCTACTCACTCACTCACCCACACTCACTCGCTCACCCACTCACTCACCAGCTTCACTCCACGTTCCTGCGCTACTCACTCACTCACCCACTCACTCACCCACTCACCCACTCAATCACTCACCCACTCACTCACTCAGCCACTCACTCACCCACTCACTCACTCACCCACTCACTCACCCACTCACTCACCAGCTTCACTCCACGTTCCTGCGCTACTCACTCACTCACTCACCCACTCACTCACTCACCCACTTACTCACTCACCAGCTGCACTCCACGTTCCTGCGCTACTCACTCACTCACCCACTCACTCACTCGCTCACCCACTCACCAGCTTCACTCCACGTTCCTGCGCTACTCATTCACTCGCAGGTGGCCACAGCACGAGGTGAGCTCACTCACTCACCCACTCACCCGCATACTCATCCACTCCCTCGCTCGCTCGCTCACCCACTCACTCGCTCAGCCACTCGCTCGCTCACTCACTTGCTCACTCACCCACTCACTCACTCACCCACTCACTCACCCACTCACTCAGCCAATCACTCGCTCGCTCGCTCACCCACTCACTCGCTCAGCCACTCGCTCGCTCACTCACTTGCTCACTCACCCACTCACTCACCCACTCACTCACTCACCAGCTTCACTCCACGTTCCTGCGCTACTCACTCACTCACCCACTCACTCACTCACCCACTTACTCACCAGCTTCACTCCAAGTTCCTGCGCTACTCACTCACTCACCCACTCACTCACTCGCTCACCCACTCGCTCACCCACTCACTCACCAGCTTCACTCCACGTTCCTGCGCTACTCATTCACTCGCAGGCGGCCACAGCACGAGGTGAGCTCACTCACTCACCCACTCACCCGCATACTCATCCACTCGCTCGCTCACCCACTCACTCGCTCAGCCACTCGCTCGCTCACTCACTTGCTCACTCACCCACTCACTCACCCACTCACTCACCCACTCACTCAGCCAATCACTCGCTCGCTCGCTCACCCACTCACTCGCTCAGCCAATCGCTCGCTCACTCACTTGCTCACTCACCCACTCACTCACTCACCCACTCACTCACTCAGCCAATCACTCGCTCGCTCACCCACTCACTCGCTCAGCCGCTCGCTCGCTCACTCGCTCACTCACCCACTCACTCACTCAGCCACTCACTCACTCGCTCACCCACTCGCTGAGCCACTCACTCACTCAGCCACTCGCTCACTCGCTCGCTCAGCCACTCGCTCACTCGCTCGCTCGCTCAGCCACTTACTCACTCACTCAGCCAATCACTCGCTCGCTCACCCACTCACTCGCTCAGCCGCTCGCTCACTCACTCGCTCACTCACTCACTCGCTCACTCACTCACTCACCCATCCACTCACTCACTCTCTCGCTAGCTCGCTCACTAACTCACTCATTCACTCACTCACTCAGCCACTCATTCACTCACCCACTCCGCCACTCATTAACTCACCCACTCAGCCACTCACTCACCCACTCAGCCACTCACTCACCCACTCACCCACCCACTCAGCCACTCACCCACCCACTCACCCACTCACTCACTCACCCACTCAGCCACTCAATCACTCAGCCACTCACTCACTCACCCACTCACCCACTCACCCACTCACTCAGCCACTCACTCACCCACTCAGCCACTCACTCACTCAGCCACTCACTCACTCACCCATGCACTCACTCACCCACTCACCCACTCAATCACTCACCCACTCACTCACTCAGCCACTCACTCACCCACTCACTCACTCACCCACTCACTCACCAGCTTCACTCCACGTTCCTGCGCTACTCACTCACCCACTCACTCACCCACTCACTCACCCACTCACTCACGGACCCACTCACTCACTCAGCCACTCACTCACCCACTCACTCACTCACCCACTCACTCACTCACTCACCAGCTTCACTCCACGTTCCTGCGCTACTCACTCACTCACCCACTCACTCACTCACTCACCCACTCACTCACTCACCTACTCACTCACTCACCAGCTTCACTCCACGTTCCTGCGCTACTCACTCACTCACCCACTCACTCACTCACCCACTTACTCACTCACCAGCTGCACTCCACGTTCCTGCGTTACTCACTCACTCACTCGCTCACCCACTCACTCACCAGCTTCACTCCACGTTCCTGCGCTACTCATTCACTCGCAGGCGGCCACAGCACGAGGTGAGCTCACTCACTCACCCACTCACCCGCATACTCATCCACTCGCTCGCTCGCTCACCCACTCACTCGCTCAGCCACTCGCTCGCTCACTCACTTGCTCACTCACCCACTCACTCACCCACTCAGTCACTCACCCACCCACTCAGCCACTCACTCACCCACTCAGCCACTCACTCACCCACCCACTCACCCACTCACCCACCCACTCAGCCACTCACTCACTCACCCACCCACTCACCCACTCACTCACCCACTCAGCCACTCACTCACTCAGCCACTCACTGACTCACCCACTCACTCACTCACGGACTCACTCATTCACTCAGTCACTCACTCACTCACACACTCACTCACCCACCCACTCACCCACTCACCCACCCACTCACCCGCTCACCCACCCACCCACTCACCCACTCACGCACTCACTCAGTCACTCACTCACTCACACACCCACTCACTCACCCACTCAGCCACTCACTCACTCAGCCACTCACTGACTCACCCACTCACTCACTCACGGACTCACTCATTCACTCAGTCACTCACTCACTCACACACTCACTCACCCACTCAGACACTCACTCAGTCACTCAGTCACTCACTCACACACACACTCACTCACTCACCCACTCAGTCACTCACCCACCCACTCAGCCACTCACTCACCCACTCAGCCACTCACTCACCCACCCACTCACCCACTCACCCACCCACTCAGCCACTCACTCACTCTGCCACTCGCTCACTTGCTCGCTCGCTCAGCCACTCGCTCACTCGCTCGCTCGCTCAGCCACTTGCTCACTCACTCACCCACTCACTCACTACCTCAGCCAATCGCTCGCTCGCTCACTCACCCACTCACCCACCCACTCAGTCACCCACCCACTCACCCACCCACTCACTCACCCACCCACTCACTCACCCACCTACTCACCCAATCACCATCTCACCATCCCACACACCCACTCACTCACCACTCACCCACCCACTCACCCGCTCACCCACCCACCCACTCACCCACTCACGCACTCACTCAGTCACTCAGTCACTCACTCACTCACTCACACACTCACTCACTCACTCACCCATTCAGACACTCACTCACCCACTCACTCACTCACCCACTCACCCAATCAGCCACTCAGCTACTCACTCACTCACCCACTCACTCACTCACCCACTCACTCACTCACTCACGGACTCACTCATTCACTCAGTCACTCACTCACTCACACACTCACTCACCCACTCACCCACTCAGACACTCACTCAGTCACTCACTCACCCACACACTCACTCACCCACTCAGTCACTCACCCACCCACTCAGCCACTCACTCACCCATTCAGCCACTCACTCACCCACCCACTCAACCACTCACCCACTCACCCACCCACTCAGCCACTCACTCACCCACCCACTCACCCACTCACTCACCCACTCAGCCACTCACTCACTCAGCCACTCATTCACTCACCAACTCACTCACTCACTCACCCACTCACTCACTCACCAGCTTCACTCCACGTTCCTGCGCTACTCACTCACTCACCCACTCACTCACCCACTCACCCACTCACTCACCCACTCACTCACTCACCAGCTTCACTCCACGTTCCTGCGCTACTCACTCACTCACCCACTCACTCACCCACTCACTCAGCCAATCACTCGCTCGCTCACCCACTCACTCGCTCAGCCACTCGCTCGCTCACTCGCTCAGCCACTCACTCAGCCACTCACTCACTCGCTCACCCACTCGCTCAGCCACTCACTCACTCTGCCACTCCGCTCACTTGCTCGCTCGCTCAGCCACTCGCTCACTCGCTCGCTCGCTCAGCCACTTGCTCACTCACTCACCCACTCACTCACTAGCTCAGCTAATCGCTCGCTCGCTCACTCACTCACCCACTCACTCACCCACTCACTCACTCACCCACTCACCCACTCATCACTCACCACTCACTCACCCACCCACTCAGTCACCCACCCACTCACTCACCCACCCACTCAGTCACCCACCCACTCACTCACCCACCCACTCACTCACCCACCTACTCACCCACTCACCATCTCACCATCCCACACACCCACTCACTCACCACTCACCCACCCACTCACCCGCTCACCCACCCACCCACTCACCCACTCACTCAGTCACTCAGTCACTCACTCACACACTCACTCACTCACCCACTCAGACACTCACTCACCCACTCACCCTCTCACTCAGTCACTCAGTCACTCACTCACTCACACACTCACTCACTCACCCACTCAGACACTCACTCACCCACTCACTCACCCACTCACCCAATCAGCCACTCAGCTACTCAGCTACTCACTCACTCACCCACTCAGACACTCACTCAGTCACTCACTCACCCACACACTCACTCACTCACCCACTCAGTCACTCACCCACCCACTCAGCCACTCACTCACCCACTCAGCCACTCACTCACCCACCCACTCACCCACTCACCCACCCACTCAGCCACTCACTCACTCACCCACTCACCCACTCACTCAGCCACTCAGCCACTCACTCACTCAGCCACTCACTCACTCACCCACTCACTCACTCACTCACCCACTCACACACTCACTCAGCCACTCACTCAGCCACTCACTCAGCCACTCACTCACCCATTCAGCCACTCAGGCGCTCACATAATGTTGTTGTTGTTGATGTTGTTGTTGACGATGTTGTTGTTGTTGACGATGTTGTTGTTGTTGTCGTTGTTGTTGACGATGATGATGTTGTTGTTGTTGACGATGATGATGTTGTTGTTGACGATGTTGATGTTGTTGTTGACAATGTTGTTGTTGTTGCTGCCGCTGCAGACGCGCAACTGGAACGAGGAGCTGCAGAGCTGCCGTGAGCTCCCCCACAAGACGCTGTCACAGAGACTCGTTAGAGAGAGAGCCACATTCAAGGTGGTGGTGGTGATGGTGGTGAGGGTGGTGATGGTGGTGATGGTGGTGATGGTGGTGGTGGTGGTGGTGATGGTGGTGGTGGTGATGGTGATGGTGGTGATGGTGATGATGGGGGTGGTTATAGTGGTGGTGATGGTGGTGGTGGTGGTGGTGGTGATGGTGGTGGTGATGGTGATGGTGGGGGTGATGGTGATGGTTCGGGTGATGGTGGTGGTGATGGTGGTGGTGGTGGTGGTGGTGATGATGATGGTGGTGATGGTGGTGATGATGTTGGTGGTGGTGGTGGTGATGATGATGGTGGTGATGGTGGTGATGATGGTGGTGGGGGTGGTGGGGGTGGTGGTGGGGGTGGTGGGGGTGGTGGTGGGGGTGGTGGGGGTGGTGGTGGGGGTGGTGGTGATGGTGGTGGTGGTGGTGATGATAGTGGTGATGATGGTGCTGGTGGTGGTGGTGATGGTGATGGTGGTGGTGATGGTGGTGGTGGTGCTGATGGTGGTGGTGATGGTGCTGGTGGTGATGGTGGTGGTGATGGGGGTGGTGGTGGTGGTGGTGATGGTGGTGGGGGTGGTGGTGGGGGTGGTGGGGGTGGTGGTGGGGGTGGTGGTGGCGGTGGTGGGGGCGGTGGTGGCGGTGGTGGGGGCGGTGGTGGGGGCGGTGGCGGTGGGGGCGGTGGTGGCGGTGATGGTGATGGTGATGGTGGGGGTGGTGGTGGTGATGGTGGTGGTAGTAATGATGGTGATGGTGGTGATGGGTGCTGCTGCTAATCATGATGATGCTGTTGGCTCCAGGTCCCACCACCGATGGGCGCTGCCGGTGCGTCGTCTCTGGTTGACGCTGCTCAGCAAGGAGCAGCTTCACTCCACGTTCCTGCGCTACTCACTCACCCACTCACTCACCCACTCACTCACCCACTCACTCACTCACCAGCTTCACTCCACGTTCCTGTGCTACTCACTCACTCACTCACCCACTCACCCACTCACTCACTCACCCACTCACCCACTCACTCACCACTCACTCACTCACCCACTCACTCACTCACCAGCTTCACTCCACATTCCTGCGCTACTCACTCACTCACCCACTCACTCACCCACTCACTCACCCACTCACTCACTCACCAGCTTCACTCCACGTTCCTGCGCTACTCACTCACTCACCCACTCACCCACTCACTCACTCACTCACCCACTCACTCACCCACTCACCCACTCACTCACCCACTCACTCACTCACCAGCTTCACTCCACGTTCCTGCGCTACTCACTTACTCACTCACCCACTCACTCACCCACTCACTCACTCACCAGCTGCACTCCACGTTCCTGCGCTACTCACTCACTCACCCACTCACTCACTCGCTCACCCACTCACTCACCAGCTTCACTCCACGTTCCTGCGCTACTCATTCACTTGCAGGCGGCGACAGCATGAGTTGAGCTCACTCGCTCACCCACTCGCTCGCTCACTCACTTGCTCACTCACCCACTCACTCACCCACTCACCCACTCACTAAGCCAATCACTCGCTCGCTCGCTCACCCACTCACTCGCTCAGCCACCTGCTCGCTCACTCACTTGCTCACTCACCCACTCACTCACCCACTCACTCACCCACTCACTCAGCCAATCACTCGCTCGCTCACCCACTCACTCGCTCAGCCACTCGCTCGCTCACTCACCCACTCACTCACTCAGCCACTCACTCACTCGCTCACCCACGCGCTCAGCCACTCGCTCGCTCGCTCGCTCAGCCACTCGCTCGCTCGCTCAGCCACTCGCTCACTCGCTCGCTCGCTCAGCCACTTGCTCACTCACTCACCCACTCACCCACCCACTCAGCCACTCACTCACCCACCCACTCACCCACTCACTCACCCACTCAGCCACTCACTCACTCAGCCACTCATTCACTCACCAACTCACTCACTCACTCACTCACTCACCCACTCACTCACTCACCAGCTTCACTCCACGTTCCTGCGCTACTCACTCACTCACCCACTCACTCACCCACTCACCCACTCACTCACCCACTCACTCACTCACCAGCTTCACTCCACGTTCCTGCGCTACTCACTCACTCACCCACTCACTCACCCACTCACTCAGCCAATCACTCGCTCGCTCACCCACTCACTCGCTCAGCCACTCGCTCGCTCACTCGCTCAGCCACTCACTCAGCCACTCACTCACTCGCTCACCCACTCGCTCAGCCACTCACTCACTCTGCCACTCCGCTCACTTGCTCGCTCGCTCAGCCACTCGCTCACTCGCTCGCTCGCTCAGCCACTTGCTCACTCACTCACCCACTCACTCACTAGCTCAGCTAATCGCTCGCTCGCTCACTCACTCACCCACTCACTCACCCACTCACTCACTCACCCACTCACCCACTCATCACTCACCACTCACTCACCCACCCACTCAGTCACCCACCCACTCACTCACCCACCCACTCAGTCACCCACCCACTCACTCACCCACCCACTCAGTCACCCACCCACTCACTCACCCACCCACTCACTCACCCACCTACTCACCCACTCACCATCTCACCATCCCACACACCCACTCACTCACCACTCACCCACCCACTCACCCGCTCACCCACCCACCCACTCACCCACTCACTCAGTCACTCAGTCACTCACTCACACACTCACTCACTCACCCACTCAGACACTCACTCACCCACTCACCCTCTCACTCAGTCACTCAGTCACTCACTCACTCACACACTCACTCACTCACCCACTCAGACACTCACTCACTCACCCACTCACTCACCCACTCACCCAATCAGCCACTCAGCTACTCACTCACTCACCCACTCAGACACTCACTCAGTCACTCACTCACCCACACACTCACTCACTCACCCACTCAGTCACTCACCCACCCACTCAGCCACTCACTCACCCACTCAGCCACTCACTCACCCACCCACTCACCCACTCACCCACCCACTCAGCCACTCACTCACTCACCCACTCACCCACTCACTCACCCACTCAGCCACTCACTCACTCAGCCACTCACTCACTCACCCACTCACTCACTCACTCACACACTCACACACTCACTCAGCCACTCACTCAGCCACTCACTCAGCCACTCACTCACCCATTCAGCCACTCAGGCGCTCACATAATGTTGTTGTTGTTGATGTTGTTGTTGACGATGTTGTTGTTGTTGACGATGTTGTTGTTGTTGTCGTTGTTGTTGACGATGATGATGTTGTTGTTGTTGACGATGATGATGTTGTTGTTGACGATGTTGATGTTGTTGTTGACAATGTTGTTGTTGTTGCTGCCGCTGCAGACGCGCAACTGGAACGAGGAGCTGCAGAGCTGCCGTGAGCTCCCCCACAAGACGCTGTCACAGAGACTCGTTAGAGAGAGAGCCACATTCAAGGTGGTGGTGGTGATGGTGGTGATGGTGGTGATGGTGGTGATGGTGGTGATGGTGGTGATGGTGGTGGTGGTGGTGATGGTGGTGGTGGTGATGGTGATGGTGGTGATGGTGATGATGGGGGTGGTTATAGTGGTGGTGATGGTGGTGGTGGTGATGGTGGTGATGGTGGTGGTGGTGGTGGTGGTGATGGTGGTGGTGATGGTGATGGTGGGGGTGATGGTGATGGTTCGGGTGATGGTGGTGGTGATGGTGGTGGTGGTGGTGGTGATGATGATGGTGGTGATGGTGGTGATGATGTTGGTGGTGGTGGTGGTGATGATGATGGTGGTGATGGTGGTGATGATGGTGGTGGGGGTGGTGGGGGTGGTGGTGGGGGTGGTGGGGGTGGTGGTGGGGGTGGTGGGGGTGGTGGTGGGGGTGGTGGTGATGGTGGTGGTGGTGGTGATGATAGTGGTGATGATGGTGCTGGTGGTGGTGATGGTGATGGTGGTGGTGATGGTGGTGGTGGTGGTGATGGTGGTGGTGGTGGTGCTGATGGTGGTGGTGCTGATGGTGGTGGTGATGGTGCTGGTGGTGATGGTGGTGGTGATGGGGGTGGTGGTGGTGGTGGTGATGGTGGTGGGGGTGGTGGTGGGGGTGGTGGGGGTGGTGGTGGGGGTGGTGGTGGCGGTGGTGGGGGCGGTGGTGGGGGCGGTGGCGGTGGGGGCGGTGGTGGCGGTGGTGGTGATGGTGGTGATGGTGATGGTGGGGGTGGTGGTGGTGATGGTGGTGGTAGTAATGATGGTGATGGTGGTGATGGGTGCTGCTGCTAATCATGATGATGCTGTTGGCTCCAGGTCCCACCACCGATGGGCGCTGCCGGTGCGTCGTCTCTGGTTGACGCTGCTCAGCAAGGAGCAGCTTCACTCCACGTTCCTGCGCTACTCACTCACCCACTCACTCACCCACTCACTCACCCACTCACTCACTCACCAGCTTCACTCCACGTTCCTGTGCTACTCACTCACCCACCTACTCACCCACTCACCATCTCACCATCCCACACACCCACTCACTCACCACTCACCCACCCACTCACCCGCTCACCCACCCACCCACTCACCCACTCACTCAGTCACTCAGTCACTCACTCACCCACCCACTCACTCACCCACCCACTCACTCACCCACCTACTCACCCAATCACCATCTCACCATCCCACACACCCACTCACTCACCACTCACCCACCCACTCACCCGCTCACCCACCCACCCACTCACCCACTCACGCACTCACTCAGTCACTCAGTCACTCAGTCACTCACTCACTCACTCACTCACACACTCACTCACTCACTCACCCATTCAGACACTCACTCACCCACTCACTCACTCACCCACTCACCCAATCAGCCACTCAGCTACTCACTCACTCACCCACTCACTCACTCACCCACTCACTCACTCACGGACTCACTCATTCACTCAGTCACTCACTCACTCACACACTCACTCACCCACTCACCCACTCAGACACTCACTCAGTCACTCACTCACCCACACACTCACTCACCCACTCAGTCACTCACCCACCCACTCAGCCACTCACTCACCCACTCAGCCACTCACTCACCCACCCACTCAACCACTCACCCACTCACCCACCCACTCAGCCACTCACTCACCCACCCACTCACCCACTCACTCACCCACTCAGCCACTCACTCACTCAGCCACTCATTCACTCACCAACTCACTCACTCACTCACCCACTCACTCACTCACCAGCTTCACTCCACGTTCCTGCGCTACTCACTCACTCACCCACTCACTCACCCACTCACCCACTCACTCACCCACTCACTCACTCACCAGCTTCACTCCACGTTCCTGCGCTACTCACTCACTCACCCACTCACTCACCCACTCACTCAGCCAATCACTCGCTCGCTCACCCACTCACTCGCTCAGCCACTCGCTCGCTCACTCGCTCAGCCACTCACTCAGCCACTCACTCACTCGCTCACCCACTCGCTCAGCCACTCACTCACTCTGCCACTCCGCTCACTTGCTCGCTCGCTCAGCCACTCGCTCACTCGCTCGCTCGCTCAGCCACTTGCTCACTCACTCACCCACTCACTCACTAGCTCAGCTAATCGCTCGCTCGCTCACTCACTCACCCACTCACTCACCCACTCACTCACTCACCCACTCACCCACTCATCACTCACCACTCACTCACCCACCCACTCAGTCACCCACCCACTCACTCACCCACCCACTCAGTCACCCACCCACTCACTCACCCACCCACTCAGTCACCCACCCACTCACTCACCCACCCACTCACTCACCCACCTACTCACCCACTCACCATCTCACCATCCCACACACCCACTCACTCACCACTCACCCACCCACTCACCCGCTCACCCACCCAGCCAGGTGACTCACCCACTCACTCAGTCACTCAGTCACTCAGTCACTCACTCACTCACTCACCCAGCCAGGTGACTCAGACACTCACTCACCCACTCACTCACCCACTCACCCAATCAGCCACTCAGCTACTCACTCACTCACCCACTCAGACACTCACTCAGTCACTCACTCACCCACTCAGACACTCACTCAGTCACTCACTCACCCACACACTCACTCACTCACCCACTCAGTCACTCACCCACCCACTCAGCCACTCACTCACCCACTCAGCCACTCACTCACCCACCCACTCACCCACTCACCCACCCACTCAGCCACTCACTCACTCACCCACTCACCCACTCACTCACCCACTCAGCCACTCACTCACTCAGCCACTCACTCACTCACCCACTCACTCACTCACCCACTCACACACTCACTCAGCCACTCACTCAGCCACTCACTCAGCCACTCACTCACCCATTCAGCCACTCAGGCGCTCACATAATGTTGTTGTTGTTGATGTTGTTGTTGACGATGTTGTTGTTGTTGACGATGTTGTTGTTGTTGTCGTTGTTGTTGACGATGATGATGTTGTTGTTGTTGACGATGATGA